CACTTCCTCCCTGCCCCAGTGGCCATGCACCCAGTTAGCGGTGCTCCCCCTCAGTGACCTCATCATCAAGAAGGCTCAGTGATTGCTGACTAGTGGAGAGGCTAGAACATGGATTCTGGAGTGGGACTTCCTGGGTTTAAATCTTGCCCCCAGAGACTTCTACTTCCAGCTATGAGAGAATAAGATGGTCTGGAAATACCGACACTGCAAACAACCAGAGAACTGTACCGAAATACAGGAAACAACTATTTAAAGACATAGGACAACAGGCATCGCAGGACTGTGATCTCTGAGAAAAGGAAAACAAATAAAGTGAGTTCTATCATTGCCCAGGCTTTCTGGGTGGATTTAATGTACAAGGAAGGGAAAGGATTTTACAGTGCAAGGAGGGGAAATCCAAACAGAGTCCAACAATTTCACTGAGTTTTCGAGGTGGAGATCAGAGTTCAGAGAAGTCAAGATGGCTGAAATTGTGGGACAGAGTACTCAAGAGAAGGGAGCTGCACAGAGAGAGTTTCAGAAATCTGCATGGGGTTCTCTTGAGTCTTTGGTTGAATATCAATCTGTCATGCATTAGGTGAAACTCCAGGAGGCTGAACAAGAACAACTTACAAGCAAAGAATAATTCCAGGGCTCACACAGGACAAGGAATGTTTTGAGCTCCCTCCAGCCGGAGTAGAGACTTCACTGAATACATGAGGCATTCAGTAGAGTTTCAAAAGAGCAAGACCTTAGAAATGGACCTAATTAGCCCTCAAATAAAAGCTATGCTAGACCTGCCATAAAATAACTTAAAAACAGGCAAGGATCAAAATAATCCACAAGTAACTTAACTGCCTGCCAGAAAAAGTATAAGACTCTATTTAAAGTAATTCACTGTAAAATGCAAACAATGTAAAAGTCACAGTGTCTGTCATCCAATAAAAAGTTACCAGACATACAAAGAAGCAGAAAATGTGACTAATAACCAAGAGGATGTAAAGGAAAACATGAACACAATGAGGAAAGAAATGGAAAAGAAGCAAATGGAACTTCCAGAAACGAAAAGAACAATATCTAAAATGGAAGCTTTACTAGAAGGAATTGCATAGATTAGACACTACAACAGAAAACATCAGGGAATTTGAAGAAAGCAATAGAAATCATCCAAAATGAAGTGCCCTCTGAAAACGAACACAAGGCCTAAATGGCCTGAGGAATACTCTGAAGTGGTTTTACATACATACAATTGGAGTCTCAGAAGGAGGGAGAGAGTGGGGTAACAGAAAAAATATATATATTTGAAGAAGTAATGGCTGAAAAATGTTCAAATTTGATGAAAAGTATAAACCCACAGATCCAAGAAAATGAACCTCAAGTAGGATAAACACACATACACACCAAGGCACATCATAATCAATTGCTGAAAGCCATAGATAAAGAGAAAATCTCAAACACAGGTAAGAGTGACAGCAGACTTCATGCTGGAAAGTATGAAAGCTACAAGACAACACAACAAAGTGTTGAAAGAGAAACAAAATTGGCAACCTAGATGGGAGAATTAACTTTCGGCAGACCTGGACCTCAAGAAATGTTAAAGGAAATCTTTCAGGCAAAAGGAAAATAATACTAGACAGAAACTCAGCTGTAAAGAATGAAGAGCACCAGAAATGGTAAATGTGCACGTAAGTATAAAAGACATTTTTCCTCATTAAAAAATTTCTTTAAAATGTATTGACTGTTTAAAGTACACACACACACAAATCATCAAAAAGAACATAACATACCGTGGTATTTGTAAGACATGTAGAACTAAAATATATGATAATAATAGCTCAAAGGATGGAAGGGAAAGATAAAAGTATACTATTGTAAGGATCTTATATTGTATGTGAAATGATATAATATTACTTGAAAGTATTTTGCAATAAATTACAGATGTATACTGTTAACCCTAGCGCAACTACTAAGAAAAATGTAACAAAGAAGTATAACTAATAAGTCAACAGCAGAGACAAAAGTAGAATCTGAAAAATCTCAATAAATCCAAAAGAAGGTAGGAAAAGAGGAAAAAGGGGAAAAAGAACAGATGGGACAAATAGAAAACAAATAGCAAAACGGCAGATTTAAATCCAACCACATCAATAATTACATTAAAGGCAAATGGCCTAAACCAGGGATTGGCAAACTACAGCGCACAGGCCAAAACTGGGCCCTGCTGAGACTGGCTTTTACATTTTTAAACAGTTGAAGAAATCATAAGAAGAATCATATTTCATGACACATAGAAATTATAATGAAATTCACATTTCAGTGTCCACAAATAAAGTTTTATTGGAACAAAGCCACACTCATTTGTGTATGCATTATCTACAGCTGCTTTTTGCTACAGTGGCAGAATTGAGTAGTTGTGACGGAGATTGTATGGTTAGCAAAGTCTAAAATATTTACTATAATGGCTCAATATAGAAAAAGTTTGCCAATCTCCAGTCTAAACACTCCAACTTAAAGATAAAGATTGTCAGAATTGATTAAAAAGCAAGACCCCAGCTGTGTGCTGTCTATAAGAAACCCACTTAAATATAATGATGTAGGTGGGTTGAAAGTAAAAGGATAGGAAAAACCTATAGTATGCATAAACCAAGTGGAAGAAAGCTGGAGTGCCTCTATTAATATCAGACAAGTTAACATGAGGACAAGGAATGTTACCAGGATCAAGAGGGACACTTATATCATCATAAAGGGGTCAATTCACCAAAGGGACCTAATAGTCCTAAACATGTATGGGTCTTCCAAATTCATGAAGTAAAAACTGATAGAACTGAAAGGAGAAATAGTCAAACCCACAATTACAGGAGGAGA